GTGTGTCCGTTGCGAGGGTGGCGAAAGAGGGAAGAACTGATGGTGGACGGACATGGGTGGGATAGGGACGGAGAGAATGCACCGAGTGTAGGGTGAGAGGGGCGAGAGGAGGGGAAAGGGGAGCGTGCTCGAAACACATAGAGAGAGAGAGAGAGAGAGAGAGTGGTTGGCGGAGGAGGTTGCAGCGTAGAGAGAGAGTCCCGTGCAACGACGCCGCCACGCGGTGTGCGGTGCAACCATACTAATCCGTCGATGGATTTATGGTCTTAATCACCGGCGGATTATCTCGGACAGCCGCGCTCTGCTGCCACCGACCGAAACATACGCCTGCCTCTTTGCAGATAACTGTATACCTGTATACCTCTCCTCCCCTCTTATTCATCTCCTCCTCCCTTACTTCCGTACTTTCTACCTTGTGCAGAAAGCACACTTCCACCTTTGCATCTTCCTTCTTACATCGGGATTCCAATACTTTCGCGTCTGGATTCTGGTTTTCGTTCTCCCCCAGGGGGAGGAAAGAGAAGGAGAGAGAAAGAGAGAAAGAGAGAGAGATACATTGGATGGCACGAGCACGACGACGAAAAATCGAATCCGTCGAATGGATAGAGGCAACGAGATTTCTTATTCATTGGTTTCCGCAAATTGATGCGGAGAGGCTGGCTTACGGTGGCGTGTTATCGGGGATATTTCGCGCCCGGAACTCGCGACTCTGTTGATTCCAGCGTGAAATATAAGAACGATACAGAGGGTGGATCGAAGAAAGATATACCGATGAAACGATTTCTATTTTTTTCTCTTTTCTTTTCTTTTCTCTTCCTTTCTTTTTTCTTTATTGCGATCGATCAAACGAACGTGAATCTAACATATTTACTTTTTCGTACGACGTTGATTGACGATTTGGAGAAAAGTAACGATAATTTCCTCCAATTTGAGAATTTTTTTAGGGGATAAAGACGATAAGTCGAATCGTATAATACAATGTTTTCTCTGTTTTTGAAAACGGAGGAAAGGATCGAGATTTTTGGCCTCGTGATTATTGGTTGTTGGTACGCATTGAACGATCTCAACTCAGATCGTGAACCGCCATTCAGATATCGTTCGAAATTCCCAGCAAATCCGCGGACAAAATAGATAAGCTTTCGCGCATTTATCGGCGAGCATTAAATGTTAGGTCGGGATTAATTAAGCGTAATGCCGCGGCTAGAATTGACTAAATGCGCCCGAATCGGTTCGCATAAATTCCGCCAATTCCGGAGGTTTGTGTCACGTAGAAGTTTCTATCGAAAGGGCAGGAACAACGGCCACGGTTCAACGAGCCCGACAACCATCGTGGTCCGTGCCGTAGACACGATTTTACCCCTGCGTTCCAGGACGAAGTGACGGGAACATGGACGGTGTGCTTTGTCACTCGTGACGAAATTAAAATTTTCCAAGTTAATACAGAATTGGCCATTAATTCGTTGAAAAATAGTTAATCAATTGAAATAACATTTATTCTATTAACTATTATAGTTGATCCGCTTTTCGCTATAATTTCGGCGTTTTAATTATTTCCTATTATTATATACGTTTTGAACAATGAGTTATCGAAGAAGAACTTATGCAAGTAACTTCAACTCATTAAATTTTGCTCGATAGAGAAGTAATTTTCACAACGATCTTTATGATGATTTACTACGAATTATTTCTTTTTAAAAGAATTCATAAAATATTAAATAAAACGGAATGTTTTACAAAAGTCAAACCATTATTTCTTTACTCCTATTTATTTTCTAATAATTTTGATTTTATTTATTAATTGATCCAACAATCTTATCAAGTATAATAAATAAATTTCTAATTTTGCAAAAATTTCGAATTCTCTCGAGCGTGTAAATCAAAATTTAAAGAGAAAAGTTTTGGGAGGGAAGGAAATGTTAAAATTCCAGGAATAGTCCACGATAGTTGGGATCCACCAGTATTTTGGTGCATGGCGTATAGCAGCGTGGCGGGAATACCGTGCCATGCTCTGTGTGGTTCTATAAATCCAGAAGGGTTTACCGGCGCAAAGCTTCCCTTGTGAGCTGCGCAACCCCACGTGACCTCATACCTGCCCACTTCCATTCCCCGTTTCACTTCCGGTCCGATACCTATTTTCCACGACCAAGTATTCATTTCCACCGATCACTTCTCCTAAAGGTTTTGGTGAAACCACGAGGATTGTCAAGTCGAGAAACACGCCATTCGATCCATTAATATCGATCCAAGTCAAACTTGGAAGGAAACGTGCTAATTCTCTCTTGATATAATGGGATTATTAAAGAAAGAATTTCATTCTGAGATTATATGGGTAAAACTGTTACGCGTGAAATGTCAAATCGAACAATCATGGATGATGATTTTGATCTCAGAAAGTTGAGTTAATGAGAAAGTTTGGCTTTTATAATAGTTTATATGTTCATATAAGTAGAAGACTCTAATAGAAGATTGAATATTATCATCTCTTAATATTTCAATTTTTTGCTTAGTTCATTTCTGTTTTATGAAAAGTATTATCTGACCCGTGATCGACGATATCTCATTTGCCAATGAGTCATCGAAATATGTGAAAAATAGAATTTTATTAAGATTAGTGAAATTGTTGTTGTTGTTATTTTTTTTTCAATAAGAACGATATCAAACACGTAATATATTTAAATGAATTTGATTTATTTGATTTTATTAAAAAGAAAAATAAAAGATGTTTTATAAGTATATGATAAAATTGCAGAAAATTCTGTATCTTTGTGTTATCTAGTTAATCTGGAACGCATATCTAAACTGGATAACAGTTTTAGTTACGTAAACCATTTTCTCAATTAATATATTACGTTGTTACTTATAATATAAGTGCTGATATTTAAATAAATAAAATATAAATAAAAAACTTGAAATTTCTCACAGCAGTCCTATTTCAACTATATAATAAAAATTCTTCAAGTATGATAATTATTTAATAATCATCTACTAATAGGATAACGTGCAAAGGAATTTATATTTTATAAATATTTTATTATTATTATTAATTTTAAATTTCTTTTTATCGAACCTCGCGTGTCAAATATTTGAAACAATGAGAAAAATCGCCTACTTCTCAAAAAAAAAAAAAAAAACATCAGACAAAGAAATGGCATT